TAGCTAACTTTACATTTGCATTTACATTACAACTAGTTCACTAGTAATCAGTGAATCAATCCAGAGAAGAACGATGCATGCCAATGCCACTGCCTTCTTGGCTACATACCGCTTGCTCCTGCAACCGAGCCTTTTCCCGTATACAGACCGACGCTAGAGAATGTCCCTTTGACATCGCCGCCCGCCGAGCACCGTGCTCTGCGCATGCGCAGCCGGTATATTCATCATCTAAAAACATCTCTCCGATATATCTTATCTCACTTCGTATTCACGGCGACGTAACAGGCAATGTTAACAGTTCGACGCAAGTTGATTCATATTGTGGAGGACTTGTCGGACAAACAGGAGGCAACAAAAAAGAGGGTTTTCCTGGAAAACATAAGGAGAATACACAAAATAATATTTTAATGAGAGAATTCCCGTAATATGCGTTGGTCATTATTCGTTGGACAGATTCAAGGATAGTATGTTAAAATGCGAGGCTGAATGCCGGAGCGTGAACGTGGCTCAACGTGGAACTGGGTAGCTGTGTCACATTCCTTGGAAAGAGCGTCGGTGTCGCGGGAAGGTGCGTCGGATATATCTTACATCATGGCCGCGCCGCGAGTGACTCGTTCTCGGAATCGACAGCGCGCATGAGCGAATCATGCCACAATCTGAATTTCTACCACGGTGTACGAAATGTATCTTACACCGTGAATTCTTCTTTAGGCCCATTTAATCGGTACAGATTTCGTGCAGATTGGACGTACAGAACGCGTGCAATTCACATTACACGATTTCTGCATTAAAAATTTGAAGCATGTTCGATTTTTTGCACAGAATACGTTGTTTGACTCTAGGGCCAGTAGCGACAGAATTGTTCACTAAGGATTTGTTGACGGCGGATATTTTCTTTTTCAATTTTGTGGTTAGGTGTTATTCGTAAGATTTTACGTAAGCAATTTCGGGTTTTGCGGTTTTTTGATGAGTTTATTTTACTGCCTCTTGCAAATGCGAGGTTACTGAGTATTATATAACCCAGCTTCCTCCAATTACAGCATTTTTCTGCGCACTCGCTGAAACCTTCGCAGCCACAATCATGCTTATAGCGACGACTACCCACTACACATTTTGTTCTACCCACCTTTTTTTTAGTATTAATGAACTAGCTCAGAGCGCACGAACACAGATGTCCGGTTCCTCGGACCGCGCAATTCAGGTGATTATTTGGGTGCCGGCATAGCCCCTGGTGGCGTCCAGTGGTAACTCGTACAGAAAACGTCCAGTCCATTTAAACGCTACCATTGGCTTTTATTATTTTGTAATCTTAAAGTTTCTTTTTGAGAATCTGCCAAAAAACTATACCACGTAGAAAGGTTTTTACACCACGCCTTGGGCGCTTGAAAAATTCAGATGAACGATTGTTTGCAAAACTGACGTATCGATATTCGTTCTGTTCACGTGATTCCATCCTTTGAAGAATTCGTTCGTTCACAAACGATACATCCCTCATGTTTATTTGATTGAAATATGAAACACATATAGCAGGCATGTAGAGTTATATTGTTTGGCAGGCGGTGGGTAATCGGCGCATTTCCCCCCACCTCGATAAACTAACTTTCGATGTGTTCTCATCAGTGCTGTTGTATTAATATGATATTAACATGTGTTTCCAATTTGGGATTAGTCACCATTGGTTGGAACATTAAATGAAAATGAGTATTACGGTTCAGAGCGTTTGTAATTTTTTATCATTTAGAATGTGCTTTTTTCTGTCCCCGGGACTGTATCGACCTTTTGGCAGCACGAATAGAATTGATTTTTGTTTGACAATACAATCAACTTATGAAACTAGAAGATTGGGGATTTGATCCGCTTATTTGTGCTCTTTATGCCTTGGTGTCGGCATTACATTCGCAAAAACATAATTTACTGTTTTGTAACGAGTAAAAATACAGATTTGTTGCTTGGCCCAGATAATGCAGAAGGCGGCAAGAAGTTTATAATTACTTCACTTCACAAGAAAATGTCATGATTTCGGGTGAACGAGCATTTCAAGAAGTGGTCTTCAGGGGACGAAGTGTTTACCATCAACATTTCGTGTGCGACATAACCTCGCGGATTGGTTGAATTTTCACTTCGGTGATTTTAAATGAAAGTCTTATATTCTTCTGGTCTGCCAAGAGAAATGGGATTGTCTTGGCTAATCTGTGGAGATGGGTGACTTTGACATATATTATTAATAGGTTGAACTGGATTCTAAAATGGAATCTGCTAAATGTGACTTGTGTGATTTTGTGTGTGAGAGTCGTGGGTCTTATTTAGATCATTTGCAAACGCATGAAGGAACAACACTATCCTGTCGTTTATGTCATAAAAGTTTTAGAAACAAATATTTGTTTTTGTACCATAAAGAGGCAAGTATGTGTGACCACCATAAAAACACTGATCCACAGGTCACAACCAAAAGTAGTGGAAAGAACCCTTCTGAAAAGAAAACACATATACAGAAAAAGAAAAATATACCATCAACCTTAAAGCAATGTTCACAATGTAATATGACATTCCAATTTCAAAGACATTATATCAAACATATGGAAGGTCATGAAAGAAATAATTGCCAATATTGTTGTGCTCTTTTCACTAACAGAAAAGAATTGATTGTCCATGTAGCTGAGAAACATAATTTGAAAATACCAGAAGCTGACTACCAATGTAAGTTTTGTGATAAAACGTTTGGGAAAAAGATAATTTTGTATAAACATTATATCGAACATGCCAATGGTCAATGGGTGTGTATGACTTGTGGTAAATTTTTGAAAAGTGAAGAAGAATATACATCTCATCTTGAAAAGCACAAAGAAAACAAAAAGTGGAAGTGTGAACGCTGCAATGAATCTTTCACTCGAAGACAACAGTATTTTATGCATATGAAGGTAATTTGTTGTTATAATTTGCAATTGTGTTATGAGGTAAATGGTTTTTAATTTCCTACACCAAAATTTAATTTTGGTGCTCCTTGTAGTCCACTAATATTATGGTGTTTGTGGTTAGCATGTAAATCTTTTTGGAAACATACAATCCTTCCTTACAACAATATTGAATATCTTGCTTAACCTGGGAGTTGTGACTGGTAGGATTGACATTCACACAAAATTGCTGGTTATAGCTACAAAGCATGCATGTATGTTGTTGTGGATCAATTTTGGTTAAAATTTAGTATATGGTACATCCTTAGAGAAGCGTGTTGGCAGGGCTTAAGCCCTAATTACTGTACGTGCTCTAATAGAAATGAATAAAACTTGCCGATACGCGATTTTCATAATTTGCCCTTGATATGCTTTGTCCCCGCCGCATTGTAATGCCAATTTACTTTCAAAGGCAAGTTTCCTCACTTCGCTTGCCTGGATCCAAGACATGGCAAGGCCCTCGCGTTCACTATAAACATCCTTGAGTCTATCCAACAAATAATTACCAATTCACTTTTATAAGACATTACTTTTCAAGAAAGCCTCCAGAATTCTGCCTAGTTAATGCCAGGACGGCACGAACATCTTCGTTGGTTGTACCGTATACTATATTTCAGCCTCAATTTTTGTTGTGAAGGGGAAAATCATAATTCAAATCTGCCAGGTTTGATGCCACTGCACCTTACTTATTGAACATTTCAGTGATGTAGTTCCCGTCTATTTACATGTGATACAAATGTATCAGATTTGTAGTTCAGACTTATTTGTATGTGCATTGTAATACCTTAAATAAAGTAACCATTTGTGTTTTACATAGAGTTAGAAAGCATCTTTTGACATGTTTACCAATTTTTAAATAATATAGTACAAATTACTGTTCTAGTTTAAAATTCACATTTTCTGCTGTGGTAAAAATCATTGTACATTCCAATACCAAATGAAATTTTGCTGAACTTATCATGTGTAAAAATATGGAAATTATGGCAGGATGAAGCTTGATATCACATAATACATTACAATTAGAGGTGCCACTACTGCAGGGTTAGGATGAATATTCACACATATTTAGAACTTAAATGAAATTGTTTAGTGTGCATAATCAGTGTAATTGTAGTTTGAAAATGAAAAGGATTTGTGTGGTTTCAGTTTCATCATTTATTGTTTTTAATTAAATATATTCAAAAGTCATTCTATGCATTTATTTTGTTGACAAAAATGACTTTGAACCATAAAAATCTTGGGAATTAATGAGTGTTCTCTATTGTTCTTGGTTTGAACCAGTAATCATGATAATTATTAATGTGGTTTAGTAGTATTGAATAGTCTGATGAAAAAAAGTTCATAGCTCTAAAATTCATGTGTAAGGAAAGAAAATATCTGAACTTTGAGGATTAATGCAAATTTATTTGCAGTTATATAGTTTTAAGTCATATTTTAATGAAACCACTCTTTTATTTTTTCAATGTTAAGTACTGATTTCAATATTGTTTTACAGGATCATGAAAAGTACAAATGCCAAGAATGTGGTGAATGTTTTGCTTCAAAGAGCAAATACAGGGACCACAAACAAGTTGTGCATGATATTAGAAGCGTGGAGCGTAGACATCAATGTTCTGAATGTGGGCAAAGGTTTTCGCGTCCCACACTTCTGATGCTGCATTTCCGTATTCACACAGGTAAGATCTTTGATGTATTATGACAGAAGGTATGGTCTTACTTGTTTGAGTTGTCTCCCAGGAACATTTTCTCATTTGGCAAAAAGACTTCTGAATGGTTAAAAGTGTAAGGTTGGCAACAAATTTTTTTCAAATGATGAGCAATTGCCATGTCTATTCCACTCCCCTTCTGTAACTAAGCTTAGCACCACAAATTGTTAAGAAAATATTTTTAATAATTTTATGATCTACAAAACAATCTTAAGATTAAACAATTGAATAAACTTTACTTCCAAAAAGTATTCCAGTAATATCAGTTTGTATTTAAAATGAAAGTATCGTGATAAAATTATTTTTAGAAAATAAGAGAGCAGATAAAAGATCTATTAGTTATCATCCTCTGATGGGTAGCAAAAACTTGTTAAAATGTTTTTATAAGTGAATAAAGTAAATGAGAAGCTGAAAAACATAATTGGTGAAACTTCCTTACAGGATCTAGCAGGTAGTTTTGCAGCTAATGTAATACTGTTCAACGAGATAGATTCGTAGGTTTCTGTAGCCAGAGTCTTTTGATTCTTGGATGTCCGGGATGAGCCATTTTGAGACATGGCTCTTCCCGGACAGCAAAGATTCAAGTGATGATGTTCAGTTGATAATAGAAATATATTCTACTTTTACGTTCTATCAGCGACTACAGCAACTTAGTAATATTGTACTGGTGTTTATCAGTTTTATAAGTAGAGATTAATACAAATAATAATAGTAATAAAATAATAAATACAGAAATTAAAAATATAAAAATGACCATAGAATACCTCTTAAAAAGAGTTAGTGTTCAGATTTCATTATTTATGGAATATAAACTGAACTATGTGAATTTTATCATTCTCAAGTGTTGTTGTTTTTTTAAATAGGGGAGAAACCTCACGAGTGTAAAGAGTGTGGAAAGAAATATCACACTCCTAGAGGTTATGCACAACATCTTCATTCATCTATGCACCAAAAACCTGAAATTCAGGAGGCATCTTTAAAAACAATGAAATGTCAAGAATGTGAATTAGAGTTTGCCACAAAACACTTGTTGGACAGGCATGTTCTGCGTGCTCATAAACAAGAAATGTCCTTTAAGTGTGAATACTGTGACCAGCGCTTCAATTGTAAAGAAAACATGAAACGTCACTTTGCTCTTCATACGGAAGAGAGACAGTTTGTATGTGAACATTGTGCAGCAGCTTTTCATTCAATGAATGCCCTTAAAGATCACATTTCCTATGTACATTCTGTTGTGAGAGAATTCATATGTGCCAAGTGTGGAATGTCATTCAAAAGGAATAGTGGGTTGAACCGCCACATGGCTTCTCACTCTGAGGATCGTCCTTTTGTGTGTTCTTGTGGAATATCGTACAAACGCTCTTCCCATCTTCGGAGACATAAAGAGACGTTTCATGGAGAAGTTTTAAAGAGTCAAAAGTTAGTGCGCCTAAAACAAGATGAATCTGGTACATTTGTTCCGGTTGAAGACACACAGCAAGGGAAGGAAAACAGGAGAAAGAAAAAGCAGGCAGAGAATGTGGAACAAGAACAGGAACCAATAGTTATTGAGAAAAATGGGGCAAACAAGATTCTGGTGGTGTCTTTACCAAATGGCCATCCTTCTCCTCCAGCACCACCCCCACCACCTGCCCCGCCCCCTCTTCCCTCTTCCCTTTCTTCTCCTCTTCCTTCACCCTCTGTTTCTCCTTCAGAGCTTGCATCTTCTCTGCAATCCTCTTCATCGCTGGAGCCCTCTGATTCCCTTAAAGGAAAATTGAAAGCCCTTGGTACCATTTTGCCTTTGGTGGATTCTACAGAGGTGGAACACTTTCAGGAGCTCTGTGATAGAGAAAACATTATTAATGCTAACATAAACCTTGAGAGTGATGAATTGACAACAATAGCTGATGCAACTGAAATAAGTGATACAGATGAAAGTCGAACATCTACTTTCTCTGGGAATATATTACATACAATTGTTTCATACAACATGACTGATTTTCCTACCTCCCTAGCGTCTGTGCCTAGTGCAGAATCTCAACTTGTGTTCACAAGTTCAGTTCCTGTGTCATCCATTAATATTGATCGCTCTCACAAGGTCCTTACATTAACATTTGACCCTCTTTTAAAATCTGGGACAGGCCTAAAACATTCGGAATCCTTTTCTCCAGAGAAAAATAACTCTGGTGAGGGGGAAAGTTCTCTGTTGCTAGACCCAAGTGTTTCTTCTCACTTGGCATTAGACAGTATATCTGATTCTTTGTACGTGCCAAGTATCACTCTGGATCGTGCACCTACATTGATAACATCTTCAGACACTGTATTAAGTAATAGTGCTGTACCCTTGCCTTCTGATGACACAACTCTTAACAACTCTCTCATTTCATCTTCAGATTCTTCTACGATGGGGAATTCCTCTGCTCTTTTCAATTCAGTGGATGCTACATTTGGAACATTACAACATTCAGAAGTTTTGTTAAATATGCAATCTCATATTGACTCCCAACATTTAGTCTCTCCATATTCTTTGTCCAATAACTTAAATATTAGTGTATCAGATTGTGAGTCTCTTCTTTCTTCTCAAAACAGTCACAGTCAAGCATCTCCTTCAATGATATTAACACAAGAGACTGAAGAATCTATTGGCTTAGATGGTGAGACAATTGCTATTTTGCCAGATTATTTACATCCTAATTTTTCTTTTTTAAATGTATAACTCAAAAAGACATTGGCAATCTCATGTATACGTTTAAAAGGAAATAGAATAAATTAGTAGAAGTCACGTAGCATTAATAAGTACCTGGTATATACTATTCTAATAAATTAGGTGATATCTGGCATTACTGATTATCACAATAACGTGTATATTTTAATAAGGATAATTTTTCATTTTCAAAAAGTGTTGGTATTAATGTAATATATATGTCGGGCTCAGAAGCAAATTAGTTATTTCAAATGTAATGAAGAATTGTCTACCATGGCTCTTTTCAACGTTCATGACTTTATTATTATTATTATTATTATTATTATTATTATTATTATTATTATTATTATTATTATTATAGTTCAAAAGTTAAAATAAAAATCCTCGTTATTTTTTACACAAAAATTTTTGATTTTTATTTATCTCTTCAGTCCAATTATTTTTTTAACATAAATTAAACCTGTACAAAATGTAAAGGGTTATGTTACTTATGCAGACATGCAATAATGTGTGCTGATAAAGCATTTCATTTTCAGAAATAAAAATTTATTTTAGTAAGGAAATGTATGACTGATATTGCTGTTTTTATATAATAAAATAATAGGGATTTGTCTGTTTATTTATAATCTTTTTTCATGTAAATTATGATACTTAAAATAGTATGGTGCTGATGAAATTCAAAAAGAAGTTTGCAAAACTTGTATTATTTGGAGAAAAACTATCATAGTATTGCATATAGAAATAGTATCTTTTAAATACAGTAGAATAGAACCGTACATGAATCGCAAATTAATATTATATTTAATATCATCCTCAACTTTTAAAGTTGAGTGTTGTAAATAATGGCAAAGTTGCTGATAGTGACATACCGTTGGTGAGTGAAAAGCAGTATTGAACAATGTATTTCTATACCAAGAACAGTATTTGCAGAGCAGTGGGTTGTGGGTTCTGTGTAAATGAATGTATGTGATTGTATATGAGAAAAGAATGCTCGTTAGATTGTTAACATTGCTCCTGCCTTACCTTGTGGTACAAACATACAAATTGAGTGCATAAAAAATATATATTCATACTCTCATTATTGTGCATTTATAAAGAATATTCTATGAGGTGTAAGGCTGTGCCAAATATTTTTCAGAGTGTTACCAATTGTATATATTTATTTAATGTGAAATATACATTTCAAGTATGTAATGTACTTTTACTACATACAAAGAATTTATGAATTGAATTTGTTTTGTTTCTTTCCTGGTACTCCATCCTTTCTTTTGGGTATTATATCTCTTTCCAACCTCTTGCCTAAACTGTTATTCACCTAAGCAATTATTCATAAGTGTAAAACATTAAATTGTTTGTAGGAACATGGCATTGTTAATGAATGAGAGAAGTACATTTAAAAAAGAAATATTTCTGGAAAATTACTATACTTGGCAATCAGTCCTTTTGTGACAAATCGATTAATAAAATGCTAGCACCACGATTGTACTTGCTCATAAAGACATTTCATAGTAAAGTGTGGCTTCATGTAAAGTACTTCCTCAGAATCCAAATATTTGTTTCAAATTTGCAGGGCTTTTGAGTTCATTCAGATCAATTAGAGAATATCAATTTTGGAGAAAATCAGGTGAGCAGTTTAGGCATTAGCATTAAATCATAGATAGACGTATATTTTACCGTCGGTCTATTTTCCAGAATCAATGATTCAAAAACATGGATTCTGACTTCACAATGGGTTAGATGAAGTTATTTACAACGTACTGGAACCTGATGTATCCACTTTTTCATTACCAGGCCCAGGAAATAAGAGATTTCTGTTGAAAAATCAGTTTCCCAGCTCATAATTATAATACTTTCTTTCCTCTTGAAGCAAGGCAAAAAAGTAAAATGGGTGATAATTCTGATGAAACACTTTCTTCTTATTTAGGTATCCTTTCCGCAACAAAAAGAGCTCAAAGATCCTCCAATAGGGGTCTTAGTGACCCACGTTACTCCATGATTACTGTTTTTGAATTCATTTATCCACATTTGAGACTTCTTTAGAAGGAAATTCTAAATTGTTCAGTTGTAAATACTGCTCAAAAGCCTGTGCTTCCTTTGGGAATGGACACAAAGTTTAAAAGGATTTGTTGATTTTGTGGTAATCAGGAATGTTAGGGAGCATGGTACAGGTGCATCAAAGGATATTAACTATATCTACTTCTTAATTCAAAGCTACTGCATTTAATATTTTGATGTTAATTTTGAATAGATAAATTAGAGAGAACCTATGAAACGGTTATTTTTATAGGAAACATCCTTTGTGAGATTTTTAGGTAAACTGTAAGCACTATACTAATTTTTTTTACGTCATGCCTTGATGTCATGAGATGAATGAGGAGGGAACACTTGTCATTCAATTGGGAGCTTCATTACGATTTAAATATTTGGTATTGGAACTACCGATTGGATGACCCTCTCTCCCCTTCCAACTCGACCTTGTGGTGCCACATTACGTAAATCAAAGTATAAATATTTTTCTTTGTGGGGTATAGGTTATTCCTTTCAGTTTCAAAAGCTACTTATTTTAGAAAGAAAACGAGACATCCATATGTAATTTGAGAAACTCTTCAAATAAAATTATATGATATTGTGACCTGTGTGAATCATACCGTTTTTCAACAGCATAAGTTAATGTTCTCATGAAGCTTAAAACACTTAATGTCGCGAAACTTAATAGCTCTTATGTTTTACCTCCTATTGCATTCTTTCTCATCTTCTTCCTTTTTAATCATAAACATTGTTCCTCTCTCTCTTCCCTTCCTCTGCCACCTCCGTCTCCTGCCTTCTACTATCCTGATTCCACTCGCCTTCTTTACACTCTGGTTCTAAAAGCTGTTTGGCTTTGTTCAGAGCTTTTTGCTTCTGCAAAAGTGTATCGCTTGAGATGGCTGTGTTGTACCTCACATTTCTCACCTATTGTGGCATTTCTCACAATTTTACCCAGTTGTATACAATAGTACGTTGCATGTAGGAAATTGTAATTAATTATATAAATTAAATGTATCAACTTATAAAAAGATGCTATGAAATCTACACTTGAAAATACAAAACATTTGAAATATATTTTGTTTGAGAATAAATGCTCAGTTTTTAAACAATTAGAGGCTTAACTGACCATAAAAAATCAAAGTAATAATTTTGATTATTCTATAAATGAATCGATATTTGTTAAATGCTCATCATTCAAGAAACAAATTATTTGGGAAACTGGAAAAAACTGTTTAATATCAAAAGTATGTTATGGTGGTTTTCGAGTTGTATTTTTCTACACATTTGTAACGATCATTATAGTAAAAGAGAAGGCTACTACATTAGATCATTTGTTGTTTTTTTAATTTTAAATGCTTTTGACTGTCATTGTGTTTACAACTATTGGCATTTTTGTATTTCTACAGCAATTTAATTTAATGATTCAAATTTTGTCAGGGAATAGAAAAAATGTTATTACATATCTGTATAAGCATGTAGTAACATTTTTCAAAAATATTTACCAAATTAGTGTGGCATATCAGAAATGAAAGTATTGGGTTAAGCAACAAAGTCCTTTTTGCATGACTTGAGTTCCCTTTCTTCTTATTCATAGTCCATTACAGATTCTGAAGGAACTGGCTGCTGTAGTAGATTCTCATAAAATTCCATATGTTATGCAGGTGTGTACTGTGATTTTCTCAGTGTCACTTTGAATGGAATCTTCCCTAATGGATAAGCTGGAATGCCTGTATGTTCAAGATCTCAAATTTGATCAAGAACCTGTGTATATATACTCACTTCTCTCTGAAATGTATTTGAAATGTTACGAACAGCAGATGAAAATGTGACTTTCTCACCTCTTGGTGTGTCTTTTGTCTCCTTTGAGACAACTATCTTCATATACAAGTAAAGAAATCTCAGGAGACATAATCTGGTCCACGCTGTATTCTATTAAAACCTGACAATGCGGCTATTCTGGACACGTAACTTATTTTTGTCGTAGTACTAGTATCCTCATAGAGGATAAGAGGATTGAGGTGGCATTCTTCGGCATCACTGGCACAGAGATGAGGAACCTGGAGATTTGTGATCCACCTGTTATTACTGTAGTATTCAGTACCAAGCACTCGTAGGTATTGTTTGCTTTGAAAAAACAAATTCTAAAAATATCAATTGCTTTGAAAAAGGAGGAAATGTTATCAGATTGACATTGATTGAAAGAATTTCCTTAGACAGTAGTTGAATTTTCCTATTTTCAGCTTGAACCAATGGTCTCAGGTTGGCTTAGAGTTGCAGAAAATCAACAACTCAAAACCAACTTCTGATGGATTGCCAGATATGTATATAGTAACATAAATTGTAGAATTTTTATGAATCCAAAACCATTATAGTATATAACGAAACAAGTATATAAAGGGGGGTATAATTGCATGAGTGCTATGTCCAAGAAAATGAGCGACAATAGTGAGTTTTCTTATTTACCATGAGTGCAATTATACCCCTTAATCCTCGTGTTTCATACAATATGTTTTCGTTTTCATTAGAGAATAATTTTAATTCTGAGAAATTCTATCATATCTTTATCATGAGAGGTATGCATTTGATGATGTCGTAATGGTTCTGAACAAGACCTATTTTAGTTGGCCTGCAGTGAGTATTTACAATCATCTTAGAGAATAATTGTAATTGATATATATACGTTTGAATATGGAAAATATTTTACGTATTCCGGTTGAAATATTAGAAGCTGACAAAGTCATGAAAACATTACTTCGTGTTGGAAAGGAGAGAGACGATTCAGTTCTGTCTCTGTTGTTTTGCTGGTGTACTTTCTAGATAGGGTAAATACAACTGACCATTACATTTTTGTATATTTGTAATATTCTAAGACCAAATGTTTTACACATAAAACATTTATTCATGTTAAATATTTTATATTGTTCTGTTTGCTAGTGTCCAGCCAAATGATTATGGCCATACTTATTTATATTGAAACACGTGCGTGTAAAGGAGGAATTATCAAATATTTAAATTATAAACAATTAACTTGATTTTCCAAAAAAAAAAAAAAAAAAATATTGTTTTATGAAGTGTATTTAAGAGTTTTGCAATGTTAAAAATTTCAAAATACACATTTTTCACATAGAATGTTTTTTTAATTACTTTGTTAAATAGGTGTTGATTTAAAGGACAAAATAATACCCAACTTTAAGGTAAATGAATATTTTTTTAATTTATTTTGGCTCAAAAGCAAACAAAACATAATTTTAAAGGGCTAGGAAATATTGTTTGCATACTTATATGGGTGTAAAACCAATTGATTTGTATACAATATTTGAAGTTTTGTTATTAAAAGTAAAATGATGATGAAATTATTAAATAGAGACACATATCTAGACACAAGTCTTAGAAATTAATACAATAAAGTTTTAATACTAGTAAATATCTAAAAACATGTTATTAATATAAAATTAATGTTCACCCTATTTATAAAATGAATGGCTTTTGCAATGAGAAAATTAAATGATCAGCAATCACTGATATTTCAGTTCCATTTAATTAATATAAATATTTACAAAGAACTATAATTATTTCTTACGTATACATTGCAACACAGATTTTGAGCACATGACCAGCATGTGTCACAGGACCGTCGTATGAACGACCTCAAATGTCTTCACGAGACTAAAGATTTTAACTGCAGTTTATCCGATTAATGTTTGAACAATTGTTACATTTCTTTTATCTTTCTACATATGGGATAAGGTATGGACTTTAATAAATATTAAGTACATTTAAAAACTGCAGTTACGCTATGAAGCTTTAGAATTAACTTGTAGCTATTCAAATTTGGGTTTATGTATGTCTACAAGGAACATCATTTTGTAACATGAATATGGCCGTCATCAAATCATCATAATGTCTTATCACTATCCACTGAATGGTTACTAGAGCTCAGCATTCTTTGGGAAAACAACTGCCCGCGACCGACCGGACATTAGCGGTCTTGCAGTGGACACTCGAGCTCTTTCTGTAACCTCTGATCGAGCGTTGACGATTTTCTTTACACGGTTCCTTGGTGAATGTAAACGTCGAATGTGATACCGGAAAGAGTAGTTCACGGAGTGCGATGGGCTTCTGGATTTTCAGAATCCGCTCTTCTCGGAGTGGATTCTGAAGCGAGAGAGCCCTTTTTCCCTCGTATTTTCTTGGCTGTCCGGGTGACGCCGCGACGATGACGAAGGTGCCGACGTTTCGGTCGCCGTTTTGCGACCTTCCTCAGGGCGTAATGCCTGAGGAAGGGCACGTCTCCCGGCATGTGTGGTAGTGTAGTTAGTGTAAGTGTGTGTGTAAGAGATGAGAAAGGTCGCAGAATGGCGACCGAAACGTCGGCACCTTCGCCATGGACGCGGCGTCACCCGGAGAGCCAAGTAAATACTGACTCCGGCCGAGGCTGCCTACGCTCTCACCATTTTCCCTCGCTCATTGTCACGCGCCATGACCGACATTCGGCGCAATTCGGCCTTCGCCGCTCGCCCGAAAGCCTTCGAGATTCAGAATAGCAGCGCGCGCGACAAGGAATTTTTCCGGGGCTTCCTCGGAGCGCTGGTCAGGGGTGTATACCGACTGCATCCCGCGGTCGACTTTGCCGATTCCTTTTACCACCCTCCCCAAAAAGAGCGTAACCCGACTGCATCCCGTTCAGTTTTCCTGCTTGGTGTAAGGATTGATTTCTACGATTCCCGTGATCTGCTTAGTATCACGTTGATCGATTATATTCATTGGTTCACTTTGTTTTCAAGAGACATTTTCAGGTTCTTTTAGAGCATTGCCCCAGTGGCGCGATGCGGTCGTCGGTTGAAGTCGTAGGCTTCCGCGGCCAGTCAAGTGCGTGATCTTGGCTGTGCGGGTGACGCCGCGTCTGTGTTGCCGACGTTTCGACCATCTTGTCGTGGTCTTCCTCAGATACCAGCATACCAGCCCTGAGGAAGACCACGACAAGATGGTCGAAACGTCGCAACACAGACGCGGCGTCACCCGGAGAGCCAAGATCAGCTTGATCGTCGGTTGTTTTCCGCAGAAATGCATAGCGGGGTGGGGGTGGGGGAGACAATGAGCGCGCGCGGTGGCGGCGGGGGTGGGGGGTGGGGGGCTCAGCGGCGCTGCAGCGTGACCCGGATGCCGTCGTCGGGGCGCAGGATGAGCTCGCCCATGAGGCGCACGTCCTGCGGCCGCTGCAGCGCGCGCACGCGAAAGCGGCGCACCACAGCCGACAGCACGCTCTTCTCCTCCAGCAGCGCGAACTTTTGACCTGCAGCACAAGCACAATTGCAAGTTCACACAAGCTATCCTCATGCAATTCATTCATTCACAAGAGGATTCATTAGACGGCCGCACCGTCTTCTCCTCCAGCAGCGCGAACTTCTGACCTGCAGCACAAACACAATTCCAAGTTCACAAAAGCTATCCACTTCCAAACCATTCATTAGCCGACAGCACCGCCTTCTCCTCCAGCAACGCGAACTTCTGACCTGCGCAATGCCAAAGACAGTCGTTTTCGCTACAAGATCACTCACAGGGAAAAATGTTAAAGAAAAAATTGCAGGAATTTTTTAGAGACTTCTATTTTGTGTAAATTGCATTAACTTTTGGCAGAAATTACGCGAAAACTACTACTGTAAAATAGTAAACAACCTTATTTTAAGATTAATTTTTGAAACAGATTGTAAGACAAAAAAATTTTACATACTTATTTTTTTGTTGTTGCAATTTTTAGAAAATACAGAGAATCCGCCAAAAATGGGATCAGTCTTCACGGCTACAAATGCGATGGGATCGCGCTTACCTTGGTGCAAAGATGTGATGGCGATCACCTCGTTGCAAAAAAGACAATGTAGCTTCAATTTTGCTAAATTTGCAAAAACGTGTGTTTGGTCGTATGTCGCGAGAATACTGACGTCGATATGCAAGTATCTTAAAATTTGAAAAGCAAACTGATTTTCCAACCAGGAGCGGATCCAGAATGTGATATCGTATAGGCTTCCGCGGCCAGAGTTATGATCTGGGCTGTCCTGGTGACGCCGCGTCGAAGGCTGAGGTGCCGAGGTTTTGGCCCCACATATCGCAGTCCTCTTCAGGGCTGCACTGCCAACTGCGGCCTGAAGAGGACCGCGATATGTCGGTCGAAGCGTCGGCACCTCAGCCTTCAGCGCGACGTCACCCGGTGAGCTCAGATCACCGGATCCAGAATGTACTTCGAGGGGGGGGGGGCAATGATGCAAAGACGTGTACTCACCGATGCAGTTCCTGGAGCCTGCGCTGAAGGGGATGTAGGCGTACGGGTGGCGGCCCTGCACGCGCTCGGGCAGGAAGTTGTCCGGGTCGAACACCTCGGGGTTGGGGAAGTGCTTCGGGTTGCGGTGCGCGTTGTAGATGTGGATGATGACTGAACAGTCGGCAGGGATGGTGTACTCTCCTGGCAAAAGGGAATTATGTCATTAAAACCGTATTGTTATAATTAATAGACAAACCTTCATTCGCACATTCGTGAAGTAAACGTTTTAGTTTGGTCATGGGATTTGTTGCGTTTGTGAATGAATTATTATAGAATCCTTCAGATGTGTTTAGTCTAAAAGTTTCAGAGACTACTCATTTTCGTTCTTCTATACTAGCTGTTACAAATTACACGCGCTGAAAAAAATGTCAGGAATAATACACTGATCGAATGCTGAGATGGTCCCTTGCTTGGCTTTTGAACAGTAATAGTTATTTTTACTGCGCACGTTTCCTTCAGTTCTTATTTTGCTAGTATGTGTTAGTAATTTCGTTGGCGTACTCTCAAATAATATCTGTAGCTTCTTTGCTATTACTCGGAGTAAATAATAGTTGTCATCAATCGCCGACAGCTCATCAAATGTTACTAACAACGCTCGTTGTTACTTTTATTCATAATCCAATATTAAGAACAACCACATTAAACATGCCTTTTAGTCTTTCGCAATTTTTACTACTTCATCTAATTCATGGCCAATGTGCTGCACCTCAATCGCCGTACGATGAGCAAAACCACTTATAGTATTTACTATTGTTACGGTGGGAACAGATTTAAACAAATGAAGTATGCATGCCCTATAAATTCCCATTCGAGATAGTTTTCGTTAACGTTTTCTTTGTAGTTTTTGTTATAAATTTCGCTATAGTTTTTGTTATAGTTTTCGCTCTAGTTTTGATATAGTTTTCGTTTTAGTTTTCGCTCTAGTTTTGATATAGTTTTTGTTATAGTTTTAGTTTTCGTTATAGTATGCATGCCATATAGATTGCAAGTAAACATTTGCCAGAATTTCTTGTGTCTCCATCTTTGACGACGACTGTGCTTTACGGAAGGAGAATGAGCAGGCGCTCCAAGGTCTGTCAACTCCTCATTTAAATTGTGCACAAATGTCTTGGGGGCAAGGATAGCTTACTTCGACAAGGCTTTGCGTAACGTACGCCAACTTGGCACCATAAAATTGTGTTACATTTATAGGAAATACGAAATACGTGTGAATAAAGCATTTGACAGTGATTATTCCACTCGTGAAATTAAAACCAATAGTGTTCAACTATAAATACAGAATGCCCCAATCAGGGCGGTATATCTCAAAAAGTTTATCGCCTTTTCTATCCGATTTTTCTTACCGTTTCTACCTACTGGCCAATCATAAACTATGACTCATGTATCTTAAGAGGCGGTATACATCCATTGCTATGTCGATGTCCAATAAACAGCGTATGCTCTATAACATAATCTCTGATTTTATAACGCTTTCAGTCATTTTCAATATTTGGCACATCTTTGAACTCTGTTGGACATAATTTCACTCGTGGAATAGTCCTCTTAAATACCATTCGTGCTTTGGAAATTCTCAGATAAATCACCTCTTAACTCCACGAGTGGGGAATTTATCGATAATTTCCAAAGCACTCGTAGTATTACCTATGATACTATTTTCTGAAAGAAACACTCGCTGCATGCAGCCCGAAATTGAGCACGTGTTTTCCCACTGGCGCGCCACCTTTTACCCTGCCAACTCATGTCTGAACCATTTCAATAACGTTGGCAGCAGCAGTCTGTGTTTGAGTTGTTGCAAGAAGATGCGAGAGTAGAGGAGTGCCATGGCAAGCGTGGTTTCGTAGGCTTCCTCGGTCGTAGTTTATGTCATCTAGGCTATCCGGGACGAGCCGCGTCACTGACACGGTGGCTAACGTTCCGGCCAGCGCATTGTGGCTGTCCCATGTTAGTAGATTTACTTGCATGTAAAATATCTTCAAGCCTAAATGGCGCCTCTGAGCTAAATTCAAATCGCCTTTTTCTTGCCCAAGAAATCCCTCTTTTCTCCGCTAGTTGGTGAAAGGAGCGTAGCGAAATTTGCGTGGTCAGACGGAAGAGCAGGTCTCATGGTCCGAGTCCCGCCACGTAAAATAAGGCATTAATTCAATTCAAATTCCTGAGAGCGTACTGCGTCAGCACAACCCGATGTGAGCGTGGTTCTAAGGCAGTCGGAAGGCCCCGGGTGGCTCCTTACCGGCCTGGAGGTCCTCGGTGACCTTCCGCACGATGAGCGGCACGCTGGGGTAGAGGCGCAGCGCCTCCTTGATGACGCGCTCCAGGTACTTCATCTCGGCCAGGTCCTGCATGGAAGGGGGCCTGTCGGAGTCCTGGAAGATGGCCTCCTGCTCCTCGAACACGCGTTCCTGCGCAAACACACACACACGCCGTGAAGATTGACTTCGGGCGCGATTACTACATTGGTCCCGTAAGTGTAGTGTTTGTTTTTTATCCAGAGAGGTGGCTGCGTGCCTTCGCTGGAACGTGATATCCAGATCTGACATACACGTCGGCATACTAGGCTTTTCTCCAGGTATCTGTATCAGCGGGGCACCGCCCCAGCCAGGACACGCTCTAAGCTCACGACTGGCCTCCCGACATGAGTGCTAGCAGAGGCGCTCATTTGGTAGCAGGGCCTGGGGCAGTTGATCCACGGGGCCTCGCATTTCAAACAAAAGAATCCCTTCTCCCCCAATTTATAAACGGAATTCATTTCTCTATACTTCAAAAATAACTTGTAGCGTTAAATTTGGGTTCGAGAGATTCTTTGTAATTCTTTAAATAAAATGGGGGCCCCATATTAAGTCGAGTCTTTGAGAAAGGTGCCCCAGCTGCCCTCTCCCATTCTGGTCGCACCTGGGTGGTAGTATATTGCAAGTAGGTATGTCTAGGGGCCAAGGAGAGAAGAACGATAAGGAAGGAAGCATCATGTGTTGCATGTTATGCGGAGAAAACACGGAACGGACCTATCACAACATTGGCTGTTAAATTCTCCTCCAGACAGAATATTCTATCTAGCTAGTGTGGAAATTCGTGCCACCGTTCAACCCGACAACCTCCCGGTGAAGGTAGTGCCGAAAGCACTGGCATTGCCTCTGAGTCCATTGTTGCCTATCTTGGGCTATAGTGCCGCATTTCTGCCGTTGCTCTTACCTGAATTTCCGGGTGGTTTCCCAGGAGGAAGAGGATCCAGCAGAGGCTTGCAGATGTAGTGTCGTGGCCCTGCGCAACAATGAAAAGAGCTCTGTTATTCCAAGGAAAATGTTGAAAGATTTTGTGAATGTTCAGGTTGTGACAACGCTATAGAGCTGTACATGGGTGTCAAAACAATGCGCCCACGTGATGCTTAACTTGAAATATCTAGCAATTCAGCTCACATCGGAGATAGGCAATGAACTTATCCAAATCCCAAACATTGACATAAACAATAACAAAGCTTTACAAAGAAATTGTAATATTTTGAAAGACTCTGAAGATTTGTTTTTTCACAAAGGTTTAGTATTAGGTACTCTCACAAAGTGTATTTCAATCAAAATTTCATCAAGTTTTGGCAGAGTTACAATAATTTCTTTTTATTACTTAAATGCGAGAATGAAAATCTCTATCTTCAAAAATGTAAGACATTGAACTTAATATTTGCAAGATAAATACTAATTTATATAATTGTTTGTTTGTTTTTATATAATTGTTTGATTGTTTCGTGTCGTCAAATAAATAGGTGCTAGGACTGATAACAACACACATGTGAGCCAACACAACATTGCCAACATGTGAGCTTTCATCTGTACAGTTGTACGTACCTCGAACATGAAGGTGTCAACCTCCTCGCGGATGTCCTCGTCGTTGAGGACAGTACCTCCCTTGGAAGCTTCCAACAGTAGGTCAAGGAACGCCACGCGACGCTTGCGACCTACAACAGTCATCTCCTTCTTCTTAACGAGTTCACAGTATCGTAAAGATAATACTCTAAGCTAAGATTAACCATCGACACAAAATTCGAGAAGTGTGTTTCTGCTAGATTACGGAATTACCCTCCAGATCTGCAGCAAAGAGTCCGAAGATGAACAACATATGTCGCATAACAGAAATGGGTAATCATGCCCCTTGCAATTCACTACACACATTTCGTTGCAACTCAAGTTACCACCATGCACGATTGAGAAAGATGTGTCCTAGATACTTATGACAGGATTCCCCAAAAGAACGCCAGTTATGTTTCTAATGCCGTAATCTACAACAGTCACTTTTTGGTCGTTCATTTACAATGCTATCGCCACCCCGAACACGAATCGTTAGAAATGTTAAAAGTTGAGTTCCATTATGACGCTATTATCGTTCTATAATAATTAATGATTTAAAAAGGGCGGAATGTTCGTAGCAGACCATCTACTAACGCATTCCAAAGGGCTAAGCGCCTAGCATTTGGTTGCGATTATGAATTCCCCAGAACACTTACAGAAGTGGTCGAGGTTTCATTTGAAAGTTTTGTGAGTGGTTTCATTTCCATCCAATATATCCACCTTGGCAACATTTGTTGCATAGTCTGAATATAAAATTGCGTAAAAACGTTCTTATGATTTGTAATTTCACCGATTCTGAATAAAATGATTAAATCTACCTAA